CATTTCAGTTTTTTCACATAAAAATTTGCCAGATTGGTTATGATGCCTTTGACTGTATGGTAGTCCAGGAATGAGAATTACCCCCATGATAGCATACATTTGCAAAAGTAGACAACCCAAGGTATTACAAATGGGGTATGTCCAGTCTTTTTTAGTAGCCACTTAGTCACAAACACTGGCCAAAGTTAGCGTTCATATTTGTTTTTGTGCATTTTTCACACACAAACAAATATGAATGCTAACTTTGGCCAGTGTTGGTGACTAAGTGGCTGCTACAAACTATTAGACATACCCCATTTTCAGTACCTTGGGTTGTCTACTTTTGCAAATGGCATATCATCATAGGGATTAATTCTAATTTCTGGGATACCATATGGTTTCATAGGCAACATAACCAGTCTGGCAAATTTCAGAGTGTATAAATTAAAAAGTGGAATGTGCTATATTAGACCCTGTACCTTTACAAAATAACATAAAACCTGTACATGGGAAGTACTGTTGTACTTGTAAGTCATCGCTGAATACAAGTATGTGTATTTTGTTGCAGTAAAAGCTAACAGTATTATGACATTCACAGTTAAAATGCCATGCAGAACTGAAAACAATCTTTAATTTCTTAATTTCTCACACCTTTTTAGATTTCATTCATGTTAAATTATGTTTCATATATGAATATTTGATGTGAAATGAAAGCCCTGTTTCTCCTAAACAAGATTATATATAAGCATAGTTGCACTGCATATGAAATCGGTTAATTATGGGTGAACAGACAAATAGATAAATTTGAGTTTTTTTAAATTTATTTTATTATGAAATTTTAGTTCACATACAAAGATATAGTTATAACATCAAGACATCGTCGTTGATTAGGGTAACATTTTGTATACAGTTTCAGTTGACATTTGGTGTCTATGTTTTACAAACGGCTCCAATGGAGAGGAGTCTTTAAGCAATGTGAACCTTAACATTTTTATAGATATAAAGAAAGAGAGAAAGCTGAAAAGGGGGGGATATAGAGAGGTTGGAGGGGGAGGATGCAAGAAATGTGCATACTCAGATACAGCGGAGGTGGTCAGGTCACCGGGATGCCAGCAGCCCTCCATGGGCTTGTTGGAGGCAATAGTGCCGTGGGGGTATTAAGGTTGCATTGTTGAATATAAGGTATCAGGTAGACTACGGGTGGTCGCAGCTGTCAAGGCTTCTGAGAGTTTACTCTTATGGGTTCCTGGTCCTAGTGACCTCTTCCCATGTATCCCATGCTATTTTCCAGATTCTGTTCTTCTGGTGCGCTGCCAGTCTTGCTGTGCTTTCTGAAATTTTATTTTGCTCCACCAGGCGTATGCATTCCGCCAGGGTGGCGGGGTCGCTGCTCCTCCAATTCCTACTGATTATCGTCAGTGCAGCTATATTAATGTGGTATGTTAAATAGCTCATAGCTTTAGGGAGCCCCATATGGTAGTTTTGCAGCAAAAAGCAAAAAATGCAGCAAAAAATATCTGGGGTGTTAGGGAGGTGGATTCCTGTCATAGATTGCACACGTTGTGCCACACTTCGCCAGTAGTGTGTTAGTGACAGGCTCGTCCACCATATGTGGAGCATGTTGCCCTCTCCTTCTAGACACTTCCAACACTTGTTGGGCACTGTGAAATTCATGCGGTGAAGCCTCGCTGGCGCTAGGTACCCTCTGCATAACAGTTTCCTAGCTAATTCTATGTGGTTGGAGCAAAGGGTTAGGGTTTTATGAACCTTAAACAATTTCTTCCATATCGTCTCGAACATCGTGAGGCCTAACTCCTTTTCCCAGGCTCAGATGACTGTTAGATTTTTAATCATCTGTCCGTTGTTCAGGTTCGCATAGAGCAAGGAGAATTTTTTTTTTTTTTGCTGGTACTGATTTCATTAAGATTTTCTCGAAGCTCATCAGCTGCTGTCCATTTTTACGTTTTGTCGCAAGAAGGTAATGTTTGAGGTACCATGCCCGTATTTGAAGGTAGGAAAATTGGGCTGTGTCTGGTAATGTAAATCCTTTTTTAGTTGTGCGAATTCCACTATTTTGCTCCTTTGTATTATTTGTGATGTACTGAACGTGGTTCCTTTCCCAGAGGCGGGAATTAGAATCCGGGATTACTGAATGTAAAGTGGCAATTGGCATCGCTGGGGAGTTGGCTTTAGTCAGGCACAGTTTGGCCCTATGGGCGTCCCAGATTCGTAGTGTCAACGCTGTGGTGGACAGAATTTTTAGTCCCTTGGGTCTCAGGTGGGCGGGGTGTCATGGCTGATTCTAGCTCCACCCATTGTGGGGGGTAATCCTGGGTTTGTGCTGTGACTATGGGGTTTATGTTGGCTGCCTGGTTGTAGTAGCGTATATTGGGGAGGCCCATGCCTCCCTCCATGTAAGGTCTGTAGAATTGTGGAGGCAGAAATTCTCTGTCTCTTACCTGCCCAAATAAAGTGGTTTAAGGAGCGCTGATTTTCTGTGAAGTATCGTGTTTGTACTGAGATGGGAAGTGTTCTGGAAAAGTACTGATATTTCGGGATTACTATCATCTTTAGTAATGAAATAAATTTGTTGTCCATGAAATAAATTTGTTGGTCCAGCTTTGTAAGAGCTCCTTAATTTGGTTTTGTAGGGCTATGTAGTTGGCCTTAAATAATTTGTCTATGGAGGCTGTAATACGTATTCCTAGGAAGGTCAGGTGGTCTGTTCTCATAGTGGAAATGCTGTCGGAGGGAGTGTAGGGTGGTGCTACAGGTGTTAAAACCCATGGCTTGAGTTTAAGTCACGTTCAGTTTATAATATGAGCATCTACTGTATGCTTCCAGTGTGGTCGCAAACGCCGGCAGTGATTCGTTTGGGTTTGTGGTGGGAATTGGAATTTGCCCAGCACCCCAAGGAGGAAGGGCCAGTGCAGCCAGTCGAACGCTTTTTCAGCATCCATGACACGAACACATTGAGTTTCCATGGTGTGCGTCCCCTAGTGGGGAACAGGTCAGTAATTGTGGGTAACATGGGCGCGTGGTCTGACCACACAATGTCTCCAATGGTACAGCAAGATATTCTATGCAATGTTGGAGCGGAGACTAATATATGGTCTATTCTCAAGTGTGTTTTATGTACTGGTGAGTAGTAGGAGTACGTGCGTTCTGTCGGGTGAAGCGTTCTCCATGCCTCGTACAAGTTAAATTCTGTTTGTAGTTTAAGCATGGATGTGCATTGAGTTTTAAGCGTTTTACCTCTCGGTTGTGGAGGGTTGGCAGAGGTGTCTAGGACACGATCCAATATATGATTGAAGTCGCTGCATACTATCATGTTGTCGGCATGCATAGTGCCCAATTTTACCAGTACCTCGTGAAGGAAATTTCTTTGGTTGGTGTTGGGGCTGTAAACATTTGCTATAGTGTACAATATGTTGTTAATTCTACACATGATAATTACATATCTGCCTTTGCTGTCAGTGATGAGTTTAAGATTGTGAATTATGGATGAGAATAGACACCCCCCTTGCTTTCGATTTGTGTGCTGCATGGTATTGTATTGGGTAATCCCTGGTGCCAAAGGATGGGATCCTGGATTTTACAAAGTCCGTCTCTTGGATACACATTATGTCTGCTTGGGTGCGATTAACCTCCTGTAGCAACATACTACACTTGTGAGGGGTGTTCAGTCCCCTAACATTTTGGGAATATGTTTTCATTATGGGATTATGGTGGTGCGGTACTCAAGGTGGCCCTTTTACGTATTAGTGACTGTGCTGCATATTCTGATAGTCTCCGACTGAGTGATTTTGTCTTCCGTGGAGTGGTCTAGCCAACTCCTCGGTTAGTCTATTTTTCACCTGCCTTATCCTTATCGTTTTTCCTCTAGTAAGTAATGCAAATTCCCTGGGTTTAGGCGGGTAGGGCTTGTGTAAGTGCTGAAGGGTATTGTGAGCAAGAAGGCCCCAAAGTATAGTAGCGAGGGAAACCAAAAACAAAAGTATATACAAACAAACCCCCTGAGGGGGTACAGTGCCAAGACTTTGCACTGTGGGGGCAGTGAGACCTTCTCGTCTCATCAATGTGCCAACTGGGCTCTCAGGTGTGGCCTTGGTCTGGAGTGAGAACTTTATTTTAACATTACTTTTTGTATGTGTGTGAGTGAGTGATTTTTTTTTCTCATTCCCGGGATTCTTAGAGCTATAGTAGTACCATGGTATAGTTTGGCTTCCGGCGTACCCTGTGGGGTGGCATTTGCCAGTTCCCTCTACTCTGTGGGGGGTATCATACCAGCTGCCCCAGACTACTAAGCGTCCCCAGATGGTGCTAGTCAGCGGGACGAGCGGGTGTTAAGTCATGCCGATAGGCTCGCCCAGGCATAAGGTGTACGGGCCCTCCATCCCTATGTTCCGAGCCCCTGGGATAGTGCATGTCTAAGAGGTGTAGCTATACTCTGCCACAGCATGCAGAGCACCAACCCGGTGGGGTTGTTCTTAATTGACATGCTTCCGTTGGTACCCAGGTAACATTATCATATAGTACATAACGTGAGGCCCTAACATATATACCAACAGCGTTTGAGTGTAAACGGGAAATAAACTTAGTGCTGTGTCCCTGGGGTTAACCAGACGTGTAACAACAATACTTGCAGCCTTTTGGTAGGATCTCATGCCTGGATCTTTGAAGCTATATGATGGTACTTAGGTAATAGCATCTCATAGTACACAACGTGAGGCCCCAACATATATACCAAAAGTGTATAAGTGTAAAATGGAAAGTAACACTTGCGGCTCTTTTGCTAGGATCTCATGCCTGGATCTTGGAAGCCGTATGACAGCGTCTTAGCAGTTAGCACATCTTGCGTATCCACTCCACTGGCAATTTGTTGGTCGACTGGCTCAAGGAGGCAGGTATTGTCAGTCCCCAAGTTTTTAAAGTATACAGTCCCTCTTCTGGTGTTTGTAGTGCCGTCAATTCTCCGTTGCGTGTAATCTGGAGTTTTGTAAGGTACCCCTATCTGTACCTCATGTCGTTCGCCTTAAGTGCCGCAATGGCGGTTGGAAGGAGCAGCATCTCCGCATCGTGGCCACTGACATGTCGGTGAAGATTTTTACATTTGTGTACTCAGTCAGCATGTCTGTCCCAAGTTTGCTGTTCCGTAGGATCATTTCCTTTATATGATAATAATGTGCTCGTAAGAGCACATCCCTGGCCACCGTTGCTGCTAGGAATGCCGGCTTAGGGACTTGGTGTACCCGGTCCAGCAGGAGCATGTCAGGTGGTGCTTCAGGCGCCAGTGTTTTAAGTAGGCCATGGATATAAGTCGGGAGCTCCGCCATCGATACAGTCTCAGTGACCCTGCGGATTCTCAAATTATTCTGGCATGAGTGGTCTTCAGCATCCATCATTCTGGATTCCATGGTGGCAAGTTGCTGTTGTAAGGTTTGGACCTGATTTGCCAGGTCATTATGCGTGGTGGTGGATGTTTCGTGGCCATCGAATATAAGGCCTCTTGTAAGTATGCTGTTGTCAGGCTTCCGTCTGATTCAGTGAAATTTTAGGTTTTGTTTTGATTTTGAAACTTTTAGACAGGTAGATGGCATCCGCCACATACTCCATTACACACTCTCTGAGATGTTATATCCGATCTCTAGTTCCCCATCTATTAAACACAGCAAATGCATTAAATCCAGCCCATTGGAAATACCCTGCACTGTCTTCCCTTAAATAGTGGATTGATAAGGTAGAAGCTGTAAGAGTGATGGAGGATTTTGTGCTTCCCATATTAGCCAGACATATGTTGATGTATGGTCTTCATGGGTACATTTCCTCCCTCCGTACCCCAAGAGAGGAGCCTTGACAGGAGCTGCTTAATTGACATATTGCCTCAATGTCTAGTTAGTATATCCTTACCAGCCCTTCCACATACTCCCTCCACAAAGGGACTATGGTACTAATACATTTGATATGTAGTCTTATTACCTGTAAGCTCTTTATTTGTTTGTGTAACCATGGTGCTTTAGGTCGTATGGGGTGCAACTGTTTTTGACTTTTTGTTTGTGTATTCTCTTCTGGCTGTAATGCACAAACTTCATGATGTACAATCACAATCATTGACGTACGGCATACTGTTTGTAATTTTTCTTAATGAAAGGTAAATAAAAATCCTCCCCTCCAAAAATAAATTTAATTTAAAATATTTTTCAAAATGTATATTACAGAACCCTTGTTCAAGCCTTGAATGCTCTTAAATGTTGTTTAAATCATATTCTCCATTGTCATCTCCGTTTGATGTGTCTGCATGGACTAGTCAAAAAGGCAGAGAATAATATTCCACAGATGAACATTCCAACAGATTGTTGTATATTGTAAGTTTACACCTCCCTTGATAAAGGCTACCAGGAGGAGCCGAAATGTTGGGGGATTGTTTTTGACTCGTGTTTCTGCCCAGATAGGCTTGTGGAATTTGGTAAATATACCTCTTTAGTTGTTTAGCCTATGTGGTCACTATTATATATATTATATATTGTATGTATTTTCTACACTTGTATTGCAATAAATATATATGTATAGATAGATACTAGTGTATCAGTTGGTGTGCATTCCTTGTTTTTTGAGTTACACCTACCTTGAAACCACATTTCACCATCCCTACCCACACAGTTGGCTATACTGCACTGACATCACAAAACAATTCAATCCCCACTACCCCACTCCATTTTGTGTTTGCCACTTCCCATTTGGATAAGATTGGAGCAGCAGGAACTGGTTGTGATAGTTTGCCATAAGTTGCAAGAGGGCCACTACACCCACCATTCTCACAAAACATGCAAATTCCCAATTTACGGCAATTTTTATATTCCCCCACTTCATGTACTTATTATTAGGATCACATACTCCTGAGCATGGGATTTCACTATTGCATTGACTTATACATTTTATCTAAGCTTTTCCCTCCCTTATAAAGCTTAATCGGAGACAGATTAAAGGGACACTATAGTCACCCTGATCACTTCATATTGTGCACTGTCCCCTTAATCCTGTAATCTAAAACATTGCAGTTTAAGAGAAACTGAAATGTTTATATTGCAGTGTTAAGATTGTCTTTATTGGCTGTCTACCAGACAGCAACTAGAGGTGCTTCCTGCTGTTTCATGGAGTTTAACTCTGTGAAACGACACTGGGCATCCTGATGCTGTGCATGAGTACATCCAGCATCTTCAAACCCCTTATAGGAAAGCATTGATTCAATGCTTTATTATCGCAAAGGTATGCACATTAGGTTCCCCCATGGCCTTCGACACTGGAATAAGGTGAATGTTTTAAAGTGGTTTTAACCCTTTAAAACATTTAACCACAGGGAGGAGGCAATAGATAGGGCATAGCAGATGGAAACTAGTACAGCTTTGCATTCCTAACACTATGGTATTCCTTTAACAAATCTCGCTTATGGTAGCACAACAGGAAAAAAATAAATGCAATTGAACTATTTATGCAATAAACCACAATGGGAAACTATGCTTCTCTCTGCTAATACAAGTACTTTTACTACCCTAAAAGACTTCATAGGAAGAGTTATTGTAGCTGACAGCTAAACTACATCTCCCAAAAATCCCTTATGTGTTCAAAACACGTGGGATAAACTCTAGACATGTGCAATTCGTTTCGTTCCGAATGTATATTCAGACGAATTTCATGAAATGTGGACATTCAGAATGTACGAATGTCTGAAGTGCCGAATATCCGAAGTGCGAAGTTCGGTACTTTGGAAGTGCTGAACCGAACCGAATTAACGAAGTTCCAAAGTGCTTCGGATTTCTGAAAAGTGGCAAAACAAGAGAGAGGGAGGGAAGGATGGCAGGAATCTTGACCAGTAAGCTAATTCCTGGCACTGGGAGCCCTATAGATGTGTAAGTGGTTGTGGTGGCAGTCCGGGCACTAGGAGCCCTACAGATGTATAAGTGGTTAGGTTTAGGGGTTAGAGTTGCCCAGGACGGCCACCACAACCACTTACTAGACACGTGCAATTAGTTTCATGCGATTAGTAGTTCGGAATTGCCAAAGCAAACCGAATGCCATTGGTCCGAATTGCCGAAGCAGACAAATTTTTTTACTTACCCGAATTTCTGAACCGAATCCAATTTTTTATCCATGTACATCCCTAATAAACTCATTATTGCATAGGAATGTTAAAGGGGTCACATGGTTTACCATATGGATGGATCCTTTGATTAATTAAAGGCTCTGCAAGGTGTGAGAAATCACTCATAAGTGGCCTGGATGTCTGGGTCCAATGTAAACTAGCTGACTTCAGTCATATGGCCTGTACCTTTTAATTGATTAATTCATTTCTTTGATATGTTAATGGTCATTAGCTTTCAAGAGAAAAACAAGTCTTGTGTTCCAGTATCATGTCCAAAATAAAGAAGCATTAATATTTACACAGAGTAATAATTAAGCCTCATTTTTTTTTCTATTTGGAATGTGACCAGCACAATCTTCTTGGTAATCCACAGGGTATATATCCAATGATACTGAGATGTGTAGTTGTACTTGCTTGGGGGCCAGAATCTAATTCTGAGTCACCACCCTCCTTACCAGAGACTCCCTGGGCAGAAGTTTACTTTGAAAACCTGAGTAAGTGATTAGGACTTCTGTTATTTTATCCCTTTTGTTTTTATCTGTTGTTGGTGTAAATAATTTGTTTATCATCTATTTTTTCTATGCACTGTGACTATTTTTTGCTCATAATAAATATTAATTTATTAAGTTCTGCCTTTGTTTGGTAAAGAATCACGTCACCTGAAGAGACTAATTAGTGTTTTGTAATTGCTTACATATAGTGCTTAGTTATACTTGGTGGGTTTTTCTTATGGTTACCTGGGGGACCCATCTATAACTGACCCATGCCTGCCTAACCCTGCCTTGGATTATCCTGCTAAGGACTTTAAGCCTGCTTCATGATCTTGGATCTTTGCTGTCTGGTTCTGACCTTCACCAGCATAATTACCAGTTAGGTTGTAGATTTTCTATCAGATGTGTAGATATGTCCCAGGAATTTCGAATGCAAGTATGATGAGAATTGTGGAAAATAGTTCTGAAGTAGTGTTAGTTGGAAAAGAAAATACTAAAAATTAGGTGTGTCCAAGAGAAAGTTAAGAGTTTCTTGAGTACAGTCCAAGAGTCAGAATATGTTTTCCAGAGAGTTTGAGAGTTTCAAAGAGCCCAAATCCATTTCAAAGAGCCCTTTGTCCTTACTTTTTAAAGGGGAAAACTCTCTGCGCGTCACTAGTTGATAGGACCGATGATAGGACCAATAGTGAACTGTGGGAGTGCCTTCCCTACAGACTATCATCTAGATTTTGGTCTGTAGATGGTGCAATTGCATCACCAAAAATTCTTGTCAGCGGGTCTATTTACCTTTTTGTATAATGGGTTAACTGAAATTGGTGATGCTTTTTACATCATCTTTGGTTATCTTTATGGCTCCTATAAATCAAAATTCCTGCCAATTTCAAAGGCTCTGGTTCACTCTTACCCAGACACAGCGTCTACAATTTAGTGTCATAATTTTAGAATTGACACCTCCTAACCTTCATAATTTTCTTACAATGGAACTAGTAATGTTGTTTTTTTTAGAAATTAAAATTAATTACTTAGTGTTATCTGTCATTGGTGTCTGGTTTTCCTGTGTGAAACTGTGTTTAAGATTATTTATACTCCACTAACATTAGTAAATAATATGATATTTCTTCATTGATATTATATCCATGAATATTCTATATTATTAACAGTACTAAATATATATGATTAATATAATATGGTAAATTATAAGTGGATAGTGTATATATATATATATATATATATATATATATATATAATTATATATACACATTTGTCTGTGGGTTGTTTGTAGTATTCCATGCCCCTTTTGACTGTTAGACATCATACCTTATGACACTCCCACACAAAACAGGGTAATCCCTCCACTGTGCCTGGGAGATAATTGAGTCAGGAACTGTACAAACAATTATCTCTAGGCACAGAAAAACCATACAATTTACAACCCCCCAAAAGTACCTTCAAAACACATGAAAACCCCACAAAAGTTACATCCCCTGATAGCCTCGATATGGGTGACCAACATATCCAAAAATCACCCAGATCGGTTTAGGGGTTCGAGATTTCCATGGAAGTCAATGTATGGCCAAAACAGTTCCATGAAATCAGGGCTAGCGGTCGGTCAACTTTGGTAACATAAAAATGAAGTTTTAATGGATTCCTGAACTGAGGAAGAGAATAGTTCCTGGGAAGGCAAAACAGGGGTTAACAAGCCCAGAGGTGGTCCGCAGTTTGTGAGTTTGTTCGGTTCCCGAAAAGTACAAATAAATCCCATGAACCAAGTCTTTTTGCCTGCCTT